TGTAACGCCCCAAAACATGGTCTAAAAGTTATTCTATTATAAAAGTATTTTTAGAAACCATATTTTCACTCAACAAAGCATTATTTCTATGTTTGACCAAAAATGAAGGAATTTTTGGAGTCAATGATTTTTGTTAAGATTGACTTTTATGGATAGGTCTCGAAGAGACGAATCCAACGGTATATTTTATGAATAAATCTGATGTACAGAGGTTCAGTTATGACATTTTAAATATGTAATTTGTATAAAAATGAGACAAAATCAAAGATGTGAACTTTTGTAAAATGATTTATTGAAATAAATATTTATATTTAATAATATTGATTGAATATGAGACTAATTTAAATTACATATCAATTAATTCAATTTTGACTCTGTCAAAGTCAACACCCAAAAATATGCTGTCAGAAAAAGTATTTCAAATAAATATAAAAGTTATATCATTGAATAGAGTTTGACTGTCTGATCGCAACGGTGTAAACGGATTTTAATTTGGATAAAGTTGGACCAAAAAGTGTACCCCAATTGAAGTAATTTAATCAAACTAAACTGGAAGGAATTAAATTAGCCGCCCCCTCCACTCACCTTGATCGACGGAACGGAACGCAACTCCCTCTCCTCCCAGGCTTATATATAGAGGAATTCATTCTTCATCATCTCCACACCAAAATCATCCCATTAGTTAGAGGAGAGTTTAGAGAGTTGAGAGAAGATGTCCGGAGAGCTTCCCGTCGCCGGAGCAAGCCATGGTGTTCGCCGGAAGTTTCGCCATTTTTCCGCCGGAATCATCGTTTTACTTCGAAGTAAGCCCGTAGATATATCTAGTGACTAGAATGTTCGTATAGATCGTTTTTACGTTCATAAATGGTCGTTTGGTTGAGTTTTGTGTTTGACATATGTGAAGAACCAAGAATCATAAACCTTGAATTTGATGTTAAAACTTCGAATTGATGCCTCTAAAATGATCTACGAACCTTGGAGAACATTTCTATATAGTTTAATTGAAGTTTGGTGACCAAAAATGGAACTTGAGAAAAATGGGCTAGAGGTTGAAGATGATGAATAGTGAACCTTCAATTTCCTGCATTTTCCAGCGGAACGGGCGACCGTTCGGACCCAACGGTCGACCGTTACGAACATTTTTAAGCCCAAAAATGCTATTTTTGAAGCTATAAAATCCTATTTTTTT